AGGTCAATCATCAAACATTCAAAATAAGAAAACATAATGAGGTATGAGACAATGCTATATTTGTAACATAAACATTCCTAAACTTTACTCACAAAAGAGTCTAACTAGCCCTCATTTCACAAAAGTTGATTATCTGACTTTCAAACTCACGGTAAATCAGAAAGAACAAGTTGGAAAGGCAGCAGGAAGCTACTAGAGCTTCTCCTAATGATGGCCGATGGGGAGGGAGGTAGAAAAACCTAGATTAATGCAGACAGGCTCAAGAGTGGTCTGGTGCCATTTAGTACCACGGCAAATGGCACACCCTGAAAACAAGTATATAACCTAATACAAGAACTGATTTTCCCAATTGTGGTAATTTTGTGACTTATCAACTTGGCTAGGCTGGACTAAAGTCTAAAGAATTCCCTTCCTGTATGCTTCTTGTTAGGGTGGGCTACAAGGGAAATTCTCCCAAGAATCGGAGGCCAGAGGGAGGCAGACCATCTCTCAGTTATTCAAACGCTATAGTTAGATGCTGCTGCGAAGGGATTTTGCAGATGTAAAGTCCCTATTCAGTTGATTTTAAGTTAATCAAAAGGTAAATTATCCTGAGGGGCCTAACCTTTTCGAAGAGGGCTTAGATCTTCCCTAAAGGCATCTGGTTCCGAATTACTCTTCCTTCCCCCTAGATATTCCTTCCAGACTGTCTGCCTTGTGGACTTCCAGTTTGCCTGCCAGCCCCCGCATCTGCATAAGCCAATTCCTTACAATAAATTCATACACAGACACAGACACACACACTACACAGTGAGTGTAGTGTACACAGTGTGTGTACTCCTTCTACTTCTCTGACTGACCCTGACGGATACACTACTGAAAATCATGACTCTTCAAGATAATGTCAAATCATGTGCAGTGTACTCTCTATTTAAGGAGAGAATTAGGTAACGATTCAGAAAGACTTTCACATAAAACAATTCAAGGAAAAGAGTTCTATTGTATAGACAGATAGGTTTAAGCTATGTGGAAAATTCACTAATGAAAAAGACCTCATTCCCTAATGATGCCAGATAAATGAAATATTACCATAACACTTTTAGAGAGTAGCTTATAGTACAATACTATATACAAACTTTGTGTCTCTTACCTGATTATTATCTGGATGTGATGTGGCAAAATATCCTTAATCTTCAGAAAGACACTGAAGCTACACCAAATATTGGCTACTTTATCCTTAAAAGAGATTTGTTGCTTTTACATTCTGGTATAATTGAAAGAAATATTACACCCCACAAAGTACAGCCCATAATCTCTAATAAACTTTTGAGACATGTACAACTTTTATTCACAATTATAACAAAGTAGATTAAATCCTACAAGAAATAAACATATACACAAGCACACTCCCAAGCATTTTTCATTTGTTTGCATGAGAGCTGATCTAAATCATTGGCCAATCATAATCTAGATATTCCCAAGAAATACTAGATATTTTTCAAAGAGCAGTACACTATCTCTA